TCGCCACGAGGGCACGCGGTTGCCAGACACTCAGGTCTGGCTTTGCGAGTCAAACACCACAGTGAAACAACCCAAAGTGGGGCTGGGAGCTCGGCATAAAGGACAATGACAGGGCCAGCACTGCTACCTGCTGAAGCACCCAATTAGCATTACTAATCACTGAAGTAGGTTAGCAGGAGGCCATTGATCACGACGATGATCCCATAGCCAACAGTGTTCTTACTTATCTCCCAGATACAGACGAACTGTTGCTCGTGCTGGACAATCTCTTCCAGATGTTTCACAAGGATACACCCTTTCTGGATGTCATCGGTGATGCTCACGAACACAGAGTCTGCTGTGGCCATTATGTTCTTTGCTTCGTCTGTAAGTTTTTCTAGGAGCACTGCATCTGTTCCTGTTCCAGAAACAAAGCACGTAAACCTAGAGCAGCCCTGCTTCACAAAAACTAGGCAGAATCAGTAACTACTCAGCGTCCTGACATTTCCCATTCGAATCCCCACCCAAAAGCCTGCGAACTCAGCGCACCACCCTCCAACCCCTCATGTTTTCTGAGCAGAAACAGGCAGGATGTCAGGAAAGCAATTCAGACACCTTCCCACACCTCAGACCTGTGAGGAAACACAAGCCATTCTGACCCATTCACATGACAGCTCCTTGCATTTCTGTGCAGCAATGACTTATTAGAACTTCTCAGAAAAAAAGAAGTTACGTCCTACAAATCCACTCGGTCTACAGGGTCAGCAGTCAGTGCAGATCCTGAAGTGGCTGCAGTGGATTAGCCCAAGCGGAATACTAGCTCCCTCCTGCTTAGCCAGGCTGAATAACTGGAGCTTTGGGACAGGGAATAAAACAAGAGCTGGAAAATTGTTATCTATTTGTCTGCTGCTCTGCAAAGTGGGAGCGGCAAGGCAGAGAGCAACTTTTTGCAGACCCCTGTAAACATCACTAACAGACGTACCACTAAAGCTGAAGATCTGTTTGATGTCAGGCCACGTAAGCACGTGGTGCAGAACCTCATTGAAATCATCCTCCGCCTGCCCGCACTTGATCGGCCACGACTTCACGATAATCGTTGAGACGAGCTGGCTGAATTGGCCCATGTTGTAGGGAGATATCCTCTCCAGGAGATTGCTCTGAGTCTGCCCAAGACAGAGGGGGAGAATGCATCAGCGTTTGGGATTACACTGCATCCATGTCCCGGGATCAGGCACTGATGTCAAGAAGTCAGGCCTCCAGGGCCGAGGCGTATTCCACAAAAGCTGTAGGACGTGACACCAGAAGCCACGACGGCAAAAGCATTGCAAATACTGTTCATGGACCCTTTCTAAGTGGATCCTCATTTCCCAATATTTGGTTTTGTCGGTTTAACGAACTGAAGGAATCCACATCAACCCAAGCAACGAGAGGCTGAACGTGCAGCTCTCCTTCCACCACAATGCACCTCTCTGCCACGCCACAGCATTTCTACACAACAGAAAAACTTGACTTTTCCCACCCTGAGGGCAAGTACAATACCTGGCAAGCTGTAGTTACAGCCTCTGTGGCACAACTGCGGAAACACCCGTCAATGGAAGAGTCAACTTGAGTAAGTTGGTTGTACTGACAGCAGTAGGCTAAGACTTGGTTAACTGGAGGCTCCTAGAGGGGAAAAGGGAGATTTCTTATCAAATTTAACTCTCCAAAGCGTTCCTTCCAACAGCATGAAGGAGAGCTGCTATTGAGACAACAAAAGGAACTACGTCGTAAAGCTTCCCAGTGGAACCAGGATTCAACCTGTTTAATCAGGGCCTGGAAGAGAGATGAAGTGAGTAAATACTTGGAAAACCTTTCAGATTGTTTCCATCTAAAATGTGTGATGACTCAATATGCATCTCTCCAAGCCAAGCTTCCATGGGAAATATTTTTTTCCTGATTATACCATGAAAATCAACGGCTTAAAGAGTTTTGCAGCTCATGCAGAAAGGAGACGAGGAGACATGCGAGTTCACGCACAGCGTGTGCCTTTGGGAGCCTGGAGAACACGGTTTCCGCACGACGAACGGAGACACGCGCCAACTTTGCTGCTCTAAGTCCTTCACTTGAGGTGCTTAACCTTACACCCACCGCTTCTTAAAAATCACAGGGGTGGTAGTTGCTCAAAATGTGCAGTTTCCTTTGAAGCATCGGGGTGTCAGCCCCGGCTAGGAGCAGACCAGCACTGCAGCCAGGCTAGCAGGCCACTGCAGGCTCTGACGCCAAGAACACAGCGCAGTGCGGTTTCACATCCAATTTTTGAGCCTCCAGAATAGGGTTTGTAACAGTAATGGCAATTTTTATGGCACCCTGTTTCCATAGGCCCGTTCAGGCTCTAGAAGCCGTTCTTTAAGCACAGCAGAAAGCTGTCTGCCCACTCCGAGCTTGGCCCGCCGGTGCGCAGCAGGTGCCTTAGCCCCACCCCTACCTCCTCAATTCTTCTCTTCAAATCTGCAAGTAAAGTCTCCTTCCAGGTCCTGGTGAACTGTTCATCTGGAAAGCTGATCTTCACAAATTCATTCCAGGCCTGCAGGCGAGAAGCAAAAACAGTCCAAAACACTAAATGCTGGCATTTAACATTCAAATAAGGAAATTAAAAAAACTGTGTTGGGAGGACCCACAATCCTCAGCCTGCAGTCCCTTCACGTGTTTCCACCCAGAAGGAAAAGAACACTCCCAGAGCTGCAAAAGGCAGTTTTTAAGCCCAGTGTCATCTCCCAGCTGCTAAAGGGGATATTTGCACGAACCACTTCCACCCTGATACTGGAAAGTGTCCCAGGGAGGGCTGGGAGCAGTGAGCCAGACTGTAAGGTGCTGCTCTGGGCTTTGCCTGCTGGAAGGCTGAAGGACAGCCAGCAGGACGCACAGGGTGAGCAAACCAACCCCAGATAAACGCCAACAAGGGTAGCAACACCTCTGGAACAGCCAAGGAAAAGGAGGAATAATGTGAGCAGCACCAGTTACAGCCCTTTGCTTTTCAGCTCAGTAGTGTTCAAAATAATGCAGCTTCTCAGGTTGTAGCGTGTACTGCCTGTCCCCATCTCATCCCTTACCCCACAGCGGCTACAGTTCCCAGCAAAGAGCCGTTAGACTCTATGGTTAAGCCAGGGTAAAACACCCTTTTATTATTATTATTAGAAGGTGACAAACCTGAAGTTCCCAATAAAGAGAGAACGTCATGTGCTCCAGATATTCTTTCAGTAGGTTCTGGTTTAAAGCGTTTCTGAACCAGGTTCGAGTGTCCCACAGAGCTTCCCTGAACACTTCCACCACTGGAACTTCCTGCACACACAGGAGAAGAAATAAGAACAGTTCAAGCAGAAGAGCAACCTACAGCTGATTGAAGTAAGTATTTCCAAAGGAGAAGGCTAAATGCATCCAAAGCACAAAGATGACCAGCAGAGACCCACCACTACCTGGATAAAGGAGAGAGGGAAGCTGGGAAAATGCCATGTTTATTAATAGATTGTGCTTTAGAAGGCTTATTCCAGGATATAAAGACAACATATGTTTAAGGGGAAAAACCAGACATAAAACAAACGCCACGAAAGCCAGCCTAGCTGACCTTCTTTTCAGTGAGAATTCAGATCATTAAATGATTTCAAAGCTCTTTGAAAGTACCACGATCTCGGTTAGTTTAGAATATTGTCTGCCAAACTGAGAATGGACACGATCTAAAACCAGCCTGTTCTACCCTTTTTTGTAATATTTCCAGGTAACTCGCTCCTATCAGCCCGTGAATGGTTCCTTGGTACTCACTGCCGTGGGCTGAAGCTGGGCAACCTTCACAATCAGCGCGACAGAAGTGGCAGGAACCACAAACCACAGCCCCTCCTTCATGTTTCTGCAGATCCTCTTGTGCAGCTTGAGGCAACAGGTCAAGCAGGACTGCCAAGAGCGAGCTTCCAGACCTCTGAGGACAGGAATAAAGAGGGAAGAGATTCTTCTCTGCTCAGAGGGGAGGAAAACCCAAGCCCACCAAATTCAACACGGTGCGGCAGTTAACCATCCATCCTTCAGCGGGATTCAAAACTGCTGCTCTCTGACAGCGGGCTAGAAAGACAGGATTCTTTAATCTAGGCTTCACTGCCTGCATTCAAGCTACAGGCCTCACCCCAGCCCACAGGCCCGGTGCAAATGGAGGGACGGTGCTCTCAAAGCGCACGTCGGTTACCTGGCCTGCTTCTCGTCCAAGGTACGCAGCAGCGTCTTCAGAAGCCCCTCCACTACCTAAGAGTGAAAAAATGGACATATTAAACTGTGAAAGGAATTGTACAGACTCGTTTCCCATTAGCTGGGGGGATGCTGTGAAGGAGGGAATTGGGTGTTCTTCCACACCTTCTCCACTGCTTTTTAAACACATTATAAAGCTACAAAACCTGTCTACGGGATGTCAGAGTCAACATACAGGTGTCTATTATTTGTACAACCAAAACCTGCCCTCCTTACAAGCGAGGGGTTTAAATTTATTATTATTAGCTGCAAAGTCCGGTTCCTGCTGTTCTCATAGAATGTTTTGCCAGGAAAATCTCTCAACCCAGCAGCACCTTGTCCAAACCCCCAAGAACTGTGCAAAAAATAGTTTCAGGCAGCCACCCAAGGATCTCAGGATTAAAATATCTGCCATCAGTGACAAGGAGCGAATCCAGATAAGCAGACCCTCCTCTCATCGATGCCGACACCATTTTTTGCTGGATACACCCTCTCGTCTCCTCTTAGGAGTCTCCCACTTCAGAGCAACGATTTTTGCTTTTAGCTAAAATGTTAAGCTCTTTGTGGTCTGAGCTGCTACCACCCCCATTCCCTTCAGTGACAGTCCTGCCAAAAGGCCCACAACAGCCCCGTTTCAGCCTTTATCCCTTAGCTGGGTAAAGCTACCAGAAGACAAACCTTAGAACTGCTCCCCAAAATGTCAACGTTTTCTAATCTGTACGAAACACCTTGAAGGGGAACTAACAAATCCCTGGAGAAGTCTTCTATAAACTCAGCCAGGCTTTCCAGGGGCAGCACACACATCCAGGACTTGACCAGAGCCCTGTCAAGCTCCAGCAGGTATTTCTTTTCTTTCATGAGTTGCAGCAGGGTCCCTCTGGAAAGAAGGCAAAACAAACCCTTCAGGGTTAAAGTACACGAGGCTAAGACCTTGTTCAGCCCACGGAGGACTCATTGTCACTCCTGTGCTTTTGTCTTTTACAGCTGAAGGTCAGTAGGAGACCCCAGGAGCCAGTGACCGCAGCAGCGGTGTCAGTCTACTGAGCACTCAAGGGAAATAAACTCCAGGTCTCGCTCAGATCCTGCACAACGCAGACCACGACCTGCTTTAACTCACGCCAGGCGTTGCCAACGGCACAAGCTGCTCCACAGCCTGCAGAATTAAGGGTTGTTGGTGTCAGAAAGGTAATACACTGCACAGCTTTGCTGTACGCCACAGCCTCCGAGCAACCAACGGGGTCTGTGCTCATAGACCCCAAAAATCCAATGGCAACACGCTACGTCTCTTGGGTTTTTCAAAAACAAGGCGGGAAAAATTAAAAACAAGGGAGATAAGGTGATCACCACTGATTACAACGTCAAGACACTGCGATTCTGGCAGACTCACGTATCTTGCTTCTGCCTTGCTTCAGCAAACGGAAGCCCTTCCAGCCCTGCCCAGGTATCTTCTTCCACCGCCACGTGGTGATGCCGCCAAGGAGCAGCAAACAAATGCAGAAGAGGGAGAACCCACACCCACTGGTCTACTTGGTCATCGATGCATCTCTGGCACAGATTTGTCAGGTGAACATTCAAACTAGAAAAAAAAAAAACCAAAACACACACACAGTGTAAAAAAAGAGCTTTTTACGGGACCCAAGAATATCCTTGGCGGGGGCAGCAGGGAAAAAGCTACATCTCATCTCGCTATGCACCACCAGAGAGCTCCTGGCAATTGTTTTAGCCCAATCTTCTCTTGGCTGAAGAGTGTGGTGAAAGACTCAAAGCTGTGCTCTTACTTCAATCTCCCTGCACAAACCCTAGGAAGAAGTGCCAATACTTTATCTACAGTTTCCACAGAAGCCCCCCCAGCGCAGTCAGGGATGGGGTGATGCAGAGGCACAGAGCCAGCCGTTCTAGGGACAATCCAGCCTCCTTGGTTGGGCTGAAGCACTACAGAGGTCTCCCAACGGAACTTTAAGAGCTGCAGTTGGGCAAGTGAAGGACGAGAAACGCGAGAGCCAGACAAGCAGTGAGATAACAGTCTAATAAGCAGGCACTCTGAGGAGAAACCAACAAAAGCCATGTGTAATGATGCACATCAGAGGAAACGAGAAGAATCCAAAAGATGGCATTTAAACGTAAGGAGTAAACACATCACAATCCCGATGACTGGAGCTGGTAAGTACAAACAGCAAAGAGAAGCTAGCAGTGAGGTAACAGTCTAATAAGCAGGCACTCGGAGGAGAAACCAACAAAACCCATGTGTAATGATGCACAGCAGAGGAAACGAGAAGAACCTGAAGACGGCATTTAAACGAAAGGAGTAAACACATCACAATCCCGATGACTGGAGCTGGTAAGTACAAACAGCAAAGAGAAGCTAGAAACTGCTTCACAGAAAAGGATAACAAACGAGTTTTAGATATTAGAAAAACCAACAGTTTTAACTCAACCTACTACTCTGGCAACAGTGATGAGTTGCAATCAGGGGAATCCTGTTTGGTCAAAAGTAAGACTTTTTTCACATCAAGAGAGGCCTGTGACTAAGAGAAGCCCCAGAGTGGTTGTGCACTCTTCATCCCTAGAGCTTTCCAGAACTTGGTTGCAAGCTTGCCTGGCTGTTAGCCCTGCTTCAAGCAGGAGGCTGGAACAGAGACCTCCAAATCTCTTTTTTCTCCCAGTTCTCTGACAGTAGAGAGCAAATCCCATATTGCTTTATCACAGGGTGCTACGCTTGCAGCAGGACCAGCCTGGTTAGATACCTTGTGAAGCACCCCAGGAACGTACGTACCTAGTGACTGCTGCAAAAGAGTTTTTCATATGATTAACGGCCTCCAGCGCGGCTCGTGGTGACACCTGGTCCAAGCACAAGAGGCTACACAGGTCAGCTAGGTCGCTTTTAGATGGTGGCAGCTTGAACCAGTCAACTACCATGAGAAAGGTGAGCCCCAGAGCCAGTTTGCTTTCTATCACTTTGGCCTCCTGCGATGCTTCTGCATCCTCTGGCGCGAGGAAAGGAAGAGCAATTTTCCTCAGATACTGCAGCAGCAGCTCATTCACCTAGGACACAGGGAAGAAACCCAACCACCACAGCGTTAGTCCCTCAACAAGTCTTATTCTTCTGCCATGTACAGCAAAGGCACTCACAGCCCTGTGCAACCCACGGTGCTCCTGGGATCTAAGCTCACGCGGTGCTGACCGCCCCCCAACGCCAGGCGTGGTACCCCAGTGCCTGTGATGGTTTCGGTACCCCTCGCCGTGCGACCAGCTCCCATCGCTCCGCTACTGCCGCACCGTCCCGTGCCCAGCAGGGTTGGGGAATGTCAAGGAGCCGGGGCAGATCTGGGAAGGGAGCCGGCGAGCTGAGCAGCTGGACACCCAACGCTGCCGTTGGCCACCACCGCGCAGCACAACCGAACTCCAGCTCCCAGGTGGGCTCGGGCTTGGTTGAGTCAAAGGGAGAGATTTCTGTCCTACCCACCGCCCCCAAAAGCTACTCTGAAAGGATGCGCAGGGGGACCATAGCACTGCGGTGCTTGGTGATCCCAAAAATCACCCCTGGGAAGGCGGGTAATGGCAGGAAACCCGGGTGGGCTCCGCTGAGCTGAGCGGCTGTGCCCTCTCGTGGCCTCTCCCGCATCGCCCGGCAGAAGGAGGCTGCGGAGAGTCAGAAATGAGCAGCCCCGACACCGGTCCAAAGCCCCCAGAAATGACCTTTCTGCCATATTTCATAATTACACCAGGTATGAAATTCAGGAGTCCAGAAGCCCCGTCTGCATCACGGCTTAGAACCGGACCGGGAGGAGCTCGTCTCAAAGGCAGGCTTAAGAGTCCAAGACGAGCAGAGAAAAGTTGGCGACAGTGTGACTGGCACCAAAACCAAAGGGCTGGACTTAGGAATCTAATCTCCAGACACAAAACCCACTCAGGTCAGAGGTTGCCACACTGCAGCTCTGCTGCTGCCCAGCACGGGACATTGGGATCGGCACCTAAGAGCAAAGGTGCCAGTGAAGGCAGACGGCAGCGGTCACGCGAGGTCACGCGAGAGGATGCCCACAGCTTCTGTCCACCTCAACCCTTCCACTGGAAAAGCGAAGTTAAACTTCTGGGTTTAGTAACTGAATGTCTGTTTCCTGCTATCTGTTTTGTGACAAGTCAGAGCGAGTCCAGAGGCGGCCATGGAGATGCTCCGGGGGCGGGAGCCCCTCTGCCATGGGGACAGGCTGGAGGAGTTGGGGGGTTCAGCCTGGAAAAGGGAAGCTCCAGGGAGACCTTAGAGCCCCTTCCAGTGCCTGGGGGGGCTGCAAGAAAGCTGGGGGGGCTTTTCCCAAGGGCAGGGAGTGACAGGACAAGGGGTGATGGGTTTAAACGGAAAGAGGGAGATGGAGATGGGACATCAGGAAGGAATTCTTCCCGCAGAGGGTGGGAGCACTGGGACAGGTTGCCCAGAGAAGCTGTGGATGCCCCATCCCTGGAAGTGTCCAAGGCCAGGCTGGATGAGGCTTGGAGCAACCTGGTCTATGGAAGGTGTCCCTGCCCATGGCAGGGGTGGGGCTGGGTGGGCTTTAAGGCCCCTCCCCACCCAAACCAGTCTGGGATTCTACGATCTGTTAAAAGAAAACCGATTACCTGCTGTACGCCAAAGTTCAACTCTACCCATGACTTTCTGCAGCCCTCGTGTACCCATGGGTCTATCGTAACGATGTAGAACTGTTCCAGCTGGAAGAGGAAGTTTCTCAGGTTGGCAGGACTCCAGGTTCCAATAATGCTGAAGATATTTTCTACCATAATATTTGCAGCTATTTTCTTCCCTTCCACCACGTTTTTGTTGTTACCAATCAATGTAAACAAAATGTTTTTCATGACAGAAGGCTTTTTGCACACAATATCATCGTACTGATGCCATTCTGGAAGAACCAACAGAGATAAGAACAGAGAGAAACAGTAATTTGAGAGACAAACACACATTTCGCACGCCTTTCCTCTTTCAGCTGCTCAGGGAAACACCCTCACTGACCGTTAAGTTTCAGAAACTTAGCCCTGTCTAATAGCACTGCTAGTCCATGGGAAGTTGGAGATGATCCCACAAAAAAACATGGCTCATCCATCCCAGTATGCGGATCCAGTCAGAAAAGCTCACCTCCTTCGCTGAGCTGGTTGCCTCTTATCATCAAGCAACGATTCACATGTTGACTGAATGTCGGACACTTGTAAATAAACTCATATTCTCCTTCTCCACAGGAAACCCAATATTTGTAAGGAATGTATTTATCCATGTTTTCTTTTTCAAGAGTTACAGCGCCTTCAATGAGGTATCCGTGTTCTCCTAGAGGCCTAGGAAACACAAAACAGAGCAGAGGAGGGCAAAAGGCATGTCAGCTGATGCATAAACTTCCTTTTCCGTAGGAATGGTGATGATTCTTTCAGGATCCAAGTTTTAAAACAGTCGTCTCCACGACACAAACCCCTTGTAGCAACACCCACCCAGCAGCACACAGCTACAGGTTTATGTATTAGGTGAAGCACCGCATCGCATCCTGTTCTCCAGAGCCAAAACCCCCCCGGGCCTGTGTGTGCGGGTACTTACTTGGTGCAGCTCAGCTCACAGATGTTGTCCTGCCAGTCTGCATAGGGAGAAATGCCTTCAGCTCTGATGAACACTTTATGGATCTCGGGGTCTAGTTTGAAGTGTTTGGACAATACTGCATGGAAATACACTGTAACGCCACGGTTTCGGTCCACAAAACTGAAGAATTAAAAGGAAAACAGAAAGAATTCTAATTTAGGCCTTTTTTTAATTGCAGAAATCGTTATAAACAACAAGGGTTTCTGAGCTGCCGGCTTACTGAATGCAAGACCCACAAGCTCTGCCAGCAGTTCACAGAAACCGGCGCTACGCAGCAGGCCTAGCGTAAAGCTTAGCACAAGGAAAAACGTGTTCCCAAAGGCAGCGTGAAACGCTCTGGCCACAGGCAGCTGGGTGGCAGCTTGCTTGTAGGAGTAAGAAATGAGAGCCACCTCTTTTCTCTTAATTGGATACTCAAAAAGGTTCATGTACCAAGTGTAGCACATTATCCAGTACATGCCCTGTGCTGCAACTCCCAATTAAACACCGCTGCTCGGCAATTCCGTTTCCACACATCCAAGACAAATGCACGTCTAATCTTAGGACTTCAGGCTCACTTTTCTTTAATCTTAGCCACAGGTTGCTGGTTCCATTGTTGCTTTTTGTCCTTGCAGTTGTCTCCTCCAGCTGAAGCGTCATCCTTTCCAGCATCCCCAGATCCTTTGGGCTGATTTGTCTTCTCAGTCCCTTTCTCCCTTGGGGTCTTCTTTTTCTCCTTTTTGTCTTTATTCTGCGGTAGGAAGACAAGCAATGTCCAATTAAACAGGAGACCCTGGAAGTACAACCTTTCTTCAGATATCTAGGACTATCCAGAGATCACAGCACAACAGTTAGCTTCGTACTTCCAGAAACACTAAACCCTCATTGAGGGAAACTACTGGTTAAGGAAAATCCAGGTGATTGCAAGAGGAATCCAGCCCAAACACATGGAAGGAGGTCAGGTCACTAAGCCACTGGTCCCCAGGGGATGGGGCGTAAAGAAAATGGAAGATAACCAGCAGCAATCCACAGCTTGACAGGCCCATCCATGAGTGGAGAACAGGCACCTTAAAATCATGACAGTGTCATGAGAGGAGCTCGGAGAGAGCTCCCTGGAGAGCACACCTGGAAGAGCTGGCTGGATTCACGGCTCCTGGGGGGAACCGGGCAAGCACTCAGCGAGAGCTGTGCTAGAACCAACACACAGGAGGGCAAAACTCCAAACAGCCACACTTCACTGTTCCCTGCTCTCCCCCATGTCCCAGCCCCGTGGCCTTCAGCTTCACCGAAAGAATCACAGTTCTAAAGTGAAACTTTGCCCAACTCAACCAAACACTCGGCATTGGCTCACACTTTTACCTTGGAAGTCGAAGAGTTCGCTTTCCAGCCGGTGTCTTTACCCGTCCCAGCCTTCGAGCTCTCGACCAGAGGTGAAGTCTTTGCGTCTTGGCTTCGAGGTGGAGCAGAAGCAGCTGCAGGCTTACTCTTCGGCACTCCCTTACCAGGAGACAACCCAGAGGAAATGCTCGCTCTCTCCCCTGCCGAGGCCTGTTTCTTACTGCTGCCCGAGCACTGGGACTCTGGTCTGGTCTCTGGCGGCCGGCCAGCGTCGGAGGCACAGCTGGCCCTTTCCGTGTTACTCCTGACCCCTTCTCCACACCCTGTGGTACCTCCATCCCTCACCTTCTCCTTTGGGGCTGCAGAGCTTGGAGGTGGGGCAGCCACACTCTCCGTGCTGCTCTGCTTTGGTGGGGTCAGCACATCCACGCTGCTCTGCCTGCCTTCTGCAACCGCTTCCAGACTTCCAGCTTCCTTTCCCAAGTGACCCAGTGCCCTGTCCCTTTGGTGTGCGTCTCCACTGTCACCAGCCAGCACATCGGCACCCGGTTTGCCTACTTCGCTGCCTGGGGTTTGGATTTCTCGTGGAGTAACACACATATCAGGCAATTCTGTCGTTTGAGCTGGTGCTGTGCTTGGAGGAGGAGGCAGAGAGTCCTGCTCCCCAGAGCTGGAAGGCCCCTTTTTTGATTTATTCTTCTTTTTCTATTAAAAAAAAAAAAGGAAAAACACAATGTCTGTTTATTCATCATTGAAGAGAAATTCTTTGTCACGTCCTCCATTGCAGCTCCTACCAACATCTTCCTGCTACACTGGGCTAACAGAGAATGATCAGGAGGAGATGGGACAAGACCGGCTACCATCCCCTATAGCGGGTGACACGCCAGAAACTCTTGAGAATTCTGGATTTTTAATAATCAAGACGTTCTCAGCATAGAATCATAGAATCATAGAATGGTTAGGGTTGGAAGGGACCTTAAAGATCATCTAGTTCCAACCCCCTGCCATGGGCAGGGACACCTTCCACTAGACCAGGTTGCTCAAAGCCTCATCCAGCCTGGCCTTGAAGACAGCCAGGGATAGGGCATCCACAACATCTCTGGGCAACCTGTTCCAGTGCCTCACCACCCTCTCTGGGAAGAATTTCTTCCTGATATCTAATCTAAACCTCCCTGATTTCAATTTATACCCATTACCCCTTGTCCTATCACTACAGGAACACAGCAGGAACACAGAGCAGCGCTGAGCATGATGCTAACAAGCTCAGACCAATTACTAAGCTGAATTCTGTCCTGCCTCCCTCAGTGCAGCAAAGGGACTGTAACGGCGAGCTCTACCCCTCAGCACATCAGCTCCCTGCATACACAACACCTGACGTAAGCAAATACATCTACGGCTTGCCCAGGAACGCAGGCAGCAGCACCCGGATGCAGGCCGAAGGGATTTGTGGTGATGCAACCCAGCCCCATTGTTTACAGGAGAGAGCAAGAGGTTAGTAGCTACTCCTGCTCCTCAGCACTGACAAAGAGCTTTACCTTCTTCTGTGGCTTCTCGGAAGAACTGCCGGTCACACACTGAGATGTAGGCTCCGGGCTACCACTTGGAGCTGGAACACCCTCCGGCAGCAACGCGCTCTCCTCCCGCGTTTCAGCAGGGGAAGGAGGCCCATCCGCAGCACATCCAGGCGTGGTCTCTCTTGTGTTCTCCATCTGTGATCCTCCCTTCTCCTCCTTTGTTTCAGTGATGGAAGAAAACCCGTCAGCACCTTCTCCCTTCACATCTCCTCCAGGTACTGCTCCTCCATCAGGGACTGGGGCGAGCTTTGCCTGTCTTCTCTCTGCAACGGAGGCAAGATTCCCGGTTAAACTGGAGAGTCTGTAAAGAATACCATTTTCAGATGGTGGCCAGCAAGCAGGGTCTGCTGGTGCCCGAATGTGTCGACTGAACAAACAGGAGCTGCTTTGTTGTTCCCTGTTCAACCAGCAACAACCCCATCCTCCCCAGCACAGCCTCCTTCCCTCTCCAAGGCCACTGCAGCTAGCAGCAGAATAATTCAGATAAGAAAACGCTGTATTGAGAAAATACTGCCCTATCCCTATCCCACCTCCAGCTATCATGCTACTGGCCAAAGCAGCAGGTGCTGGGAACCACAACTGCCCGTTGAAGTGCTCAAGGACCCCCGGAATGTGCAGAGATGTTGGCATGCCTCAGCTCTCACAGCCTTCCGGACTGGCTGTCTTGAGTGCTGTGTCCCAGAAAGCACAGGAAACTCCCTTTTTAGCTTCCAACAGTTTTATCCAATCCGTAAAACACGAAAAAAAGGCAGCTCACATCTGAACCAGGCAACCTTCCGCAGACCTGCAGACAGGCGCTTCAGCACTGCCTCTACCCCAACTCTGAGAGCAAAAGCTTTTCACCTCTGAGCGCAGACCAACCAACACCGAAAGACAGGCCTCCTCTCGCTATTTCTGGCAGCAGTCGCGCAAAAATCAAGGGGAAGGCAGCTCACAGCCCCAAGGCTGCACCACGCTTAATGACAGCGGGCTGTTCTGTACCTGAAGCAAGCACCCCCTGCAATCCTGTTTCACATCCAATTTACCATCATGCCATTATCTGAAGGGTTTAAACTCTTCCCTGAGCTTTTCCCGCTCCTCACCGACTCCTGTGTTGACACTTACTTGTTAGAACTCCCCCGTCCCCCAGAGAAACAGCATAATTACCTGACAATCACTACCCCTTCCATCACCTTCAACCACTGCCAGAAGCAGGCACAAAGCTTTCGGACCACCGGAACAGATGTTTTGGTTGTTTAACCTCCAGCATGTAAGAGCTGGAGCTCCTGGGTTTGTTACCTTCCCAACTCTGGATTACAGAGGGATTTGCTAAGAAACGGTGTTGACAGGACCACAGCAAGCTGTGGCTGGTTTAGTGTATGCTTCTAGGATCCTACTTCTCCACATCAAATCCAGAGCAATTCTGGTGGCCCAGGTCACTCCCTCTTTAAGCAAAGAAAGGATCAGGAGGTCTTTCCCCCTGTGTCACTGCATTGTGTGTCCGATTCTGTTACTGTTATTAATTGTGTGTCCTGCATTATTTGTGTCACTGCATTAATTGTGTGTCCTGCATTAATTGTGTGTCCGATTCTGTTACTGTTCGTTGAGGCAGAATTACTGTCTTGGCAAACAGAAATTCAAGGAGTGAATTCGCAACGTCACAGGGAGCTGAAGATAGGAAATTCTGGTTCAAGAGGGACTAGACGGGTCTTTGCAACTCAGCATTCCATAAAAATAGCACCGCCTCAGTGGCAAAAGGGAAATTAGTTCAACACTGGAGATCTGAGAGTGGAGAATAGGCGTAGGAGGTGTCGGCAACTGACCCACTTCTCACTCCACCCCCACCAGCCACAGCGAAGCGAGGAGAAGGCCGTCTCCGGCCCCTGATGCAAAGGGCGTTGGAGATGAGGGCGGCAAGCAATGACCTGGCCACAGCAGCCCGGAGCTACACACGCACCGGGCCAACACAGGAGCCAGCGGGCCGGCCTCTGCCCACCGAGCAGCCCCGGGGCACCCCAGCCCACCCCACTCCCGGATCCTGGTCCCCACTGCGGGCGCAGGGAGCCAGCCAGACCCCCGCACCGGCTGCAAGAACCGGGAGAACCATTCCCAGAAACAGCGTGAGGCAGGCGGCACTCCCCGCCTCCCCGCCGCAAACCCTGCCCTGAGCTTTTCGGAGCCCCG